CTGTGGCAGAGGAAGCCCTGGCTGCTGGTAATACCTTTACCTTTTCAAAAGGCCGAGGTATGCAGGTATGTGTAATACTGTCCAAATTTGAGGAGTACTGCCTGCCAAAAAAGAATGAGACTCTTAAAAGAGACACATTTTTATGTGCAAACAAACAACAGAACGAAGAGTAGATGGCTATGTTACTAAACTAAAAAGACTGAGTAAGAACTCTCCCTTTGGGAAGTTGACAGAATTTCTGATTAGACATAGGATTATTTGTGACACTGCGTACCGCATTACAAAAAAAAATACTGTACAAGGCAGACTTGTCCCTAGAAAAGACTATCCAAATATGCAGGGCAGCAGAAACTATGAAGGCCATGAACTAAAAGGGGTCATCCATGCAGCAGGCATAAAAGCCTGTGGCCAGAAAAAGCTAACTCACAGGGTGAAAATTTCCATTAGTAAAAAGTCACCTCACAGAACAGAATTTTTCATTGGCAAGGAGCATGAAAAGGGAGGGACAGCTTATAAACTTTGCAGCAGCAAGTGTGGTAAGCAACACAAACCCAAATGTTATGCTTCATTTGGAAAGCTCTGTTTTATATGTAACAACAAAAGGAACCATTTTACCATGTGCTACATACAGATCAAACACACAAATCTCAAGTGCACACACAGCTTAGTATACACTGAAAGAGTTATTTCAGTAGGCATGGCAGAATCAATCAAAAATCAATAAGAGTGACTGCAAGTGCAAAGAACAATGGTTGCATTTAAATTGGACACCAGAGTCCAGGTTAGTGTTTCACCAGAGCATGCACATAGAAAATTAAAATTAAAACCAAAACTGAACCCAACTAACATCAAAATGACTGACTATTCAGGAATAAATATACTAGTGAAAGGGAGATGCACTGCTAACATACAGTATATATAGTATATATACTAGAGTATATAGAGTATACAAATTCCTATTCATTGTGATACCATTGGAATACCTAGGGAAGTGACACCAATTTTGAGTCTGGCAGCTTGTGAGAAATTGAATCTAGTTAAGTATGTGTTTGCAGTACAAGACAACACAGAATTCATGTCTCCTGATGATCCTTCTTGGCCATCACAGTACAAATCTGGACCGTTTTCTTAGAAAGAAACCAAATGTTCTAGAACAAAAGTAACAACCATATCCCTATGGCAAGAAAGGTACTTAGGGATGCAAATGCAAATGAAGCAAAAGAACATCAGCCTCCAGGGTCTTCAGCTAATGAATTTTGTGCTGTGAACAACAGCTGCAAAAAGTGCAACTCAGTTGGATCCCAGTATAAGGACTCAAGTCTATCAAGACTTGGTCCAGACATTACACATAAATTGGTTTAGGTGATCAGAAACTGGTTTAAACCTGTAACAGAACAGACATTCAGCACACATAAACCAGTCTGAAAATGGCTGAAACCGGTTTGATGTAAACCTGGTTGAATGTAGTATCAGACTTAACTGATTTGGGTCGCCTTCAGACCTCAGGTTGGGGAGGACCGGGTTAGAGAGCTTCTGGAGGGGCTGGACGCGTTCAAGTCAGCAGGTCCAGATGCTCTCCACCCCAGGGTGCTGAGGGAGCTGGCTGGGGTTATTGCAGGGCCCCTGGCACGGCTCTACGAGCGATCGTGGTGCTTGGGCCAGGTGCCAGACGATTGGAAGGTAGCTAATGTGGTCCCCATCTTCAAAAAAGGGAAAAGGGAGGACCCGGGCAATTATAGGCCCGTCAGTCTTACCTCAATCCTGGGGAAGCTCTTTGAGAAGATCATCAAGGAGCACATTTGTGATGGGCCGGCATCCGAGATGATGCTCAGGGGCAATCAGCATGGATTTATTAGGGGGAGATCATGTCAGACCAACCTGATTGCCTTTTATGATCAGGTCACAAAGGCCATGGATGCAGGTGTCGCGGTGGATGTAGTCTTTCTGGACTTCAGCAAGGCCTTTGACACCGTCTCTCACCCCATCCTAATTAGTAAACTAGGCGACTGTGGCATAGATGCCTACACGGTCAGATGGATTGCAGATTGGCTGAAGGGTCGCACTCAGAGGGTGGTGGTGGATGGATCATATTCGACTTGGGGGGAGGTGGGTAGTGGAGTCCCTCAGGGCTCGGTCCTGGGCCCTGCGCTGTTCAATGTCTTCATCAGCGATCTTGATGTTGGGGTGGAGAGCAACCTGTTTAAATTCGCTGATGACACCAAAATTTGGGGGGAGGTGAGCACGCTAGCAGGGAGAGAGAGATTGCAGAAGGATCTGGATAGGTTACAGGGGTGGGCAGACAGGAACAGGATGCGTTTCAATACGGACAAGTGCAGGGTGCTGCACTTGGGTAGTAGGAACCAGCAGCACACTTATACGATGGGGAACTCCCTACTTGAGAGCACGGAGGCGGAAAGGGATCTTGGTGTCATTATTGACTCCAAGATGAACATGGGCCGACAATGCGAGGTCATGGTTGGCAGGGCTAACCGGACCTTGTCGTGCATCCACAGGTGCATCTCGAGTAGAGCCAGGGAGGTGATCCTCCCCCTCTATGCGACGCTGGTCAGGCCGCAGCTGGAGTATTGTGTCCAGTTCTGTGCGCCCCATTTCAGGAGGGATGTGGACAACATGGAGAGGGTCCAGAGGAGGGCCACCCGCATGATCCGGGGACAACAGGGCAGACCCTACAGTGAGAGACTGCGGGACTTGAACCTATTCAGCCTCCACAAGAGAAGGCTGAGGGGGGACCTGGTGACCGTCTATAAACTCACTAGGGGGAACCAGAAGGGTTTGGGGGAGACGCTGTTTCCCCTAGCCCCTGCTGGCATAACAAGGAATAATGGGCACAAGTTGATGGAGAGGAGGTACAGATTGGACATCCGAAAAAACTACTTCACAGTCAGGGCGGCTAGGAGCTGGAACCAACTTCCAAGGGAGGTGGTG